TACTTCCTTTTAAGATAAGATTATCAAAAATTGAGAGTTCATCTTTAAACTTATAAAAACATTTAAATTCTTCATTCAAAGGATATGGCCAAACTCCCTTTTGAACCATCTCTTTCAGTTTTTGAAACACAGGATCTTGCTCTGTACAAACTTTTATCTCTTTCAAAGACAGTGCTTGAAGCTCTTCAGAAGTGATGGATAAGACTTTATGAACATAGTCCTCCAGCCATTTTTCATCACTTGTGTTAGAAAGAGGTTGTCTTGAAAATATATCTGCAATATTTTGCTTTCCTTGAATGAATTCAATTTCAAAGTCATATATATGGTTGTAATCTCCAACTCAATCTTTGAATTCTTGGAGGCAAAACAGCTCCATTTTTAGGATTCAGCATATAGATTAGAGGTTTGTGATCTGTTTTTAACACAAATTTCCTTCCCCAAATATAGGTGTTAAAATGTTCAATTGCCCATACACATCCCAATGTCTCTTTTTCTATTTGTGAATATCTTTTTTCAGTATCAGTTAAGGATCTGCTGGCATATGCAATGGGTCTTTTAATGCCATTTTGTTGTGTTTGTATTAATACTGCTCCAAGACCAATAGGGCTTGCATCTGTGATTAATTCAGTTGGTGAGTTCAAGTTGTAATATGCCAAGCATGGCTCTTTTGTTAGTGACTCTTTAAGATCCTGAAATGCTTTATTTGTTTTCAAATCCCAATTCCACCTAACATTTTTTCTAGTCAAATTATTTAAAGGTTCTGCCAATTTAGAAAAATTAGGTATGAATTTTCTTAAAAACCCACAAGTTCCTAAGAATGACCTTAACATCTCAATATTTTTTGGTATTGGAAAATTTAAGACTGCTTCTATTTTCCTATTATCAGGTTTAATACCTTCACTACTAACAATGTGACCTAAAATATCCAATTCTTCCATTGCAAATTTGCACTTATTCCTGTTGAGCCTAATGCCTACTTTATCAAATCTTTGTAAGACTTTTCTAAGCCTTTCTTCTAGTTCTTGTCTATCTTTGGCGTAAACTACGACATCGTCCAAGTAACAAATTACACCTTTCAAATCAAGCAAAATTGAATCCATTCCTTTCTGATATGCCTCTGGAGCACTTGATAGACCAAAAGGAACTTTACAAAATCTGTAACAACCACGGTGCGTGATGAAAGTTGTAAGGGGTCTTGATTGAGGGTCTAAGTGAACCTGCCAAAACCCTTTTTTTGCATCCAGCTTTGCAAATACTTTAGCACCTTTAAGGGCATGTAACATATTGTCAATTGTAGGAATTGGATGTCTTTCTCTCAATATTGCTTTATTCACTTCCCGAAGGTCTATGCATAGTCTAATTTCCTCACTATCCCTTTTTGGAACAACTATTATGTTAGAAACCCATTCAGAACCTTGATGCACTTCTTCAATGATTCCATTCTCTAGCATCTTATCAAGCTCTTGATTTACTGCTTCTACCATTGCATAAGGTATACGACGGCATCTCTGGGCAATGGGCCTATAGTTGTCTTTCAATGTCACTTTATGACTATAGCCTTTTATAGTTCCAAGTCCATGGAAAAGATGTTCATGTTCTTGAACAAGAGTTTCTATATTAGTAGACATTGATTCATTTACATGATTTACCCTTTTAATTATACCTAGTTCAAAACTAGCCTTGCCTCCCAACAAAGATTCAACTTTTTTATCAATCACATAAATTTCTTCTGAAACTGAATTTTCTTTCCAAGAAATCACAGCATTGAAATAACCATAACATGGAAGAGGTCTATCTTGACCATAGGCAAAAAAGGTTCGGGTGGTGTCATGTAATTTTGGCATAATTTTATGGCCATATAATTCAAGCATCTTATTATAGCTTATGAAAGTTCTATCACTCCCTGTATCAATTATCATATTTATTTCACTACCATCTATTTGCACTTTTTCTTTATTTTCAGCACCTGTATAGTAGGTATATTCATCTGAACTTTCACCTACTTCAGTCTTATTTTCTTCTTGTATGGTCTTAACTTTAGTTTGATTGAAATTTTTGTGGTTTCTATTATTATTTTGATTTGGGTGGTTCCTGCAAGCTCTAAAAAGATGTCCTAATTTATTGCAATATGAGCAAGTCATTTTTTTAGCACCACATTCTTGTGCTGAATGTGTATCTAATCCACAGCGATAACATTTAGGCTTTGAGGCACCTGAAAATGATGGGGTACCTTGATTAGTGAATCTACCTTTGTTGAAATTATTAGCATTATAGTGCTTTTTAGGTTTATTTTGAACTCTAGTGTTTGATCATTTTGAGGTTCAAGAAGTCTAATTTCTTTTCTAGAAATTTCTAACATTCTAGCAATATCAATGGTTTTTGACAGTGTCAAATTTTCTTGTTGCAACAATTTTTCTTTAAGTTTTTTGTTGTTACATTTTTCAATTATTTGGTCTCTTATCATATCAGCTTCTAAATTCCCAAATTCACAAGATTTAGAAAGCTCTCTTAAAGAAATTAGGTAGTTGTCGATCGATTCATCATCTTTCTGGACTCTTTGTCTAAATTTAAATCTCTCAGTGACCACATTTTTATGAGGTGTGAAATATTTATCTAAAGCCATTTTAGTTTGTTCATAATTTTCCTTTTCATCTGGCAAGTTGAAAAATATACGCTGTACATTTGGCCCTAAACAATGCAATAGAGTTGCTCTCTTAATTTCATCCGATTTTTTTGAAATTCCAGATGCTATTTCAAAAATGGCATAGGATTCCATCCATTGCTTATATTCCGCAAATAAATTGCTTGCATTCATATTCATGGGTATCGGTGGCGTCAGGTTGGCTGCCATACTTGTTTTTTTTTTTTTTTTAGGGCTACAGTTATAATTTCAAATTCTCGTCGCCAATTTATGTTGTATAGTTATTGTTGTATAGTTATTATTTAATTAAACATTACTCACCAGATGAAATTATATTACAAATTATTTATTACACTTTAGATTTATATTTTTACATCAACACTTTGTTTACATTATACATCGTATATTATTGTTTATGATGATGATCTATTATATATTTTAAAACACAGAATACTACAGTCGCTAACTACCCACCATGATTATCATGGCCTGTACCATATGTAGACATGTGGTGTACTTACAGTAAAAGACAGTTGCTAACTACCCACCAGGATTATCATGGCCTGTACCATGTGTACTAGGGATAAGCAATAAAAAAAATTAGGGTATCAAACTTGTAAAGCTTTCAAAACATTCAGTTACTTTTATCTGATGATGGTAACAATGCTGTTACTGAAATATCACACACTATTTATTTATTTATTTGGATTTGGTATTTATACCTTGTGTTTAGTGGTCACTTTGTTTTAATTTCCTTACATTAATACTGAATAACGATAGAAATCATTTGATGATAGGTTCTTCTTATCATTAACATACATGTACCTCTATGTCTAATTTAAAAATCAAGACAAATCCTTGACAAAGTTTTATTAAATATATATTCAAAGATATAAAAAATGATTTGAAGACATCTTCATCACATTATATAATACAATTTTTACTTTAAAAAATTGGCTCTAATACCTTGTTGCTTCAAAGCATTCTTTAAGCATTACATCTTTCAAATAAAGTTAATAAGTGTTTTTCTTCCATTTTCTTTCATGTTTCCATATATTATTCTTTAGTCTATATTTCGATAAGGTACAATTTGGATTATAGATTATAAACACAAGGTAACAAGACCACATCCATGATAAGGTACAATTTGGATTATAGATTATTAACACAAGGTAACAAGACCACATCCATGATAAGGTACAATTTGGATTATAGATTATAAACACAAGGTAGCAAGACCACATCCATGATAAGGTACAATTTGGATTATAGATTATAAACACAAGGTAGCAAGACCACATCCATGATAAGGTACAATTTGGATTATAGATTATAAACACAAGGTAATAAGACCACATCCATGATAAGGTACAATTTGGATTATAGATTATAAACACAAGGTAATAAGACCACATCCATGATAAGGTACAGTTTGGATTATAGATTATAAACACAAGGTAACAAGACCACATCCATGATAAGGTACAATTCGGATTATTCTATATACAGTTACGAGCGTCATTCTTCGTCGCCTCTGTCACGGTTTGCTTTTTTTTTTGGAATGGCGCCCTCCTATTGGTCGGCTACGATCATGCCACCTTTTGGTTTAGTGGTAGAATGCTCGCCTGCCACGCAGGCGCCCCGGGTTCGATTCCCGGCCGATGCATTTTTTTTTTTTTTTTACAATTTTTAAAACTCATTTATATTATTAAAATATATGTGCTTTTCCTGTCTATGTACAGATTTATGGTCTATGTACACAAGTATACAAGTATGTATACAAGTTATTTGCAAATTGCGTGGCAAATTTGCCCTTTCGCTCGCAAGCAGCGCCTCTAGCGGTGAAGATGGGAGGTAATATCAGCTGACCTAATGGACAAGAGAAAAATCTGGAAAAGATATTTTTCAGATTTTTAGTCAAGAAAAATAAATTGACAGGTTCTGGGAAAAAAATAGTTGTTTTTTATTCAGAAAATGATGATGACAATATTGCTGTATCATATTTGATTATCAGATACAAAATTATATCCGGGAAAAATTCCAAAAAGCAGAGACCACGGGTGAAGCCAGTTCATTTTTAGTATGAAGGAACAAAATTCTAACAGAAAAACATTCATTCGAGCAGAAGACACAAAGCCAGATCATCTCTTTATAAAAATATCGCTTCTCAGACACAAAGTTTGGAGTGGGACGTTTCACAAGAATGACATCCACGGCGCCAATTTATAATTGTAACGAATAGTATTTGAATAAAAGCATTTAATCTGGTAAAACCCGGGCATTGCCCTTTCTTAATCTATTCTGTCACCGTTTGCTTTTGTGAATGGAATAAATACCCAAAAATGGCCATTTCTCATAACCATCGGTGGTTCAGTGGTAGAATGCTCGCCTGCCACGTGGGCAGCCCGGGTTCGATTCCCGGCCGATGCTTTTTTTTTTTACAATTTTTAAAACTCATTTATATATTATACAAGAATGACATCCACGGCGCCAATTTATAATTGTAACGAATAGTATTTGTATATAAAAATAGACACTTCGGCCAGTTGGAGTTTTTATTTTCTCAACGTTTCGACAAAAATCTTTTGTCTTTGTCAGGAGAAGTAAATAAAAATAAACATTTGGCAAAAAATTAAAAATTGTTCTGAGGTTTGCAAGGGTGTTCTCACGTGATTTTTCGAATTTAGTACAACATCTAAAGCCCGAGTAAAAACAAATATTAAACTCGTCAAAGACTATGATCTTGGAAATAAAAATATATACAGTCGAACCTCTTTAATTCAACACCCCAAGGGATCAGAGCTTTCGGTTGAATTAAAGGAAGTGTTGAATTAAGGTGAGATGATTAGGTAATCGTCTAACTCGCTAAAATAATATTTTTTTAAAATAGCCTTGTAATATAAATTAATGATATTAATTGAAACCATTGTGTGTTTTTATTTTCATGATTAACTTTTAGTATCAGGGACAAAATGGCATTAATACATATTTTAGAAACAAAAATAATTGTAAAAAATAAATTTACTGGCAATGTGTTTCTTTTCAGTAATATAATCAAATATTAACTCTACAGACATTAAAATATTAAATATAATATATTAAATAATATTTTATTCTAATTGAAAAATACAGCAGTTGAAAGGAAATAAATATGGTAAATAAAAAGAAAATTTTAAAATATTATTTAAAAATTATCATGAAGATCTTTTAAAAAATTCCTTTATAGATGTCTGTTTTTGCACTGAAATCCTATTCAGGATGTATTCCAGACGGTCATTTTGAAAAAACATGCATGTCTTTCTTCTTCTAAAATGTTTTTTTAATAAATAAATTTTAATGTATTAAAGTCATCCACTGCTGCTGCAGGTATTATTGATTTTGTGTTTAAATCTTTTATAATAACACAGAAATGGAATATTGAAATAAAATGTTATCATAATCATTGTGGCTACATTTTATAAAGATTTATTTATTTAAAAAGAAATTATTTATAAATTTTAAAATGGCTAAAATATTTCCTTGTTAAAAATAAAAAAATAAAAATTATTATTAGTTAGCGCATGATGCCGAAATTCCCGCGTAAAAAAACAACAATAACATCCGCGAAATTGCGCAACGGCACTGCAAAGTGAAACTTAAACTAACAAGAAACCAAAAGTGCGCAGGCGCGATCCGATCGGCGCCCGCCGATGCAGATCGGCGCCCGCCGTAATACCGTTTAGCGGTAAAGTTGCATGTAAAATAACATTCAACTGTCGAAATTCGAATTTTAAAATGGCCGAACTATCGGAACTGTCGTATTATCGATACTGTCGAATTACGGTTTGTTATTTGATAGGCCGGAGGTCGGGACATCGGAACATGGTCGAATTATCGAAGAGTGTCGAATTGGGGTGTGTCGAATTAACGAGGTTATACTGTAATAATAAAATTATAATAAATTAGGTAAAAATAAATAAATAAAGTAATATAATAATAATAATCACAAATATTATTATATAGATTTCTAACTATTATGTCCATTTTTATCTAGCTTATTAACTACTTTTTAAATTAAAAAAATGAAACATATTGTTGCGGAATATCTTCAAAAGTATTTATAGTTCTTTTCCCAAATTCTCGTGATAATCTTTCCTTTTTAAATTTTATATTCCTGTGAATTTAATATTTGTTTTTGACTCGCGCTTTAGATGTTGTACTAAATTCGAAAAATCACGTGAGAACGCCCTTGCAAATCTCAGAACAATTTTTAACGCCTTGCCAAATGTTTATTTTTATTTACTTCTCCTGACGAAGACAAAAGATTTTTGTCGAAACGTTGAGAAAATAAAAAACTCCAACTGGCCGAAGTGTCTATTTTTATATATAAATATGAATGCCGGCCAGGCAGCCTCTATCTTTACGAATAGTATTTGAATAAAAGCATTTAATCGGGTAAACCCCGGGGGTTGCCCGGGTCATTCAGCTAGTAGATTATAAACACAAGGTAACAAGACCACATCCATGATAAGGTACAATTTGGATTATAGATTATAAACACAAGGTAACAAGACCACATCCATGATAAGGTACAATTTGGATTATAGATTATAAACACAAGGTAACAAGACCACATCCATAATAAGGTACAATTTGTATTATAGATTATAAACACAAGGTAACAAGACCACATCCATAATAAGGTACAATTTGGATTATAGATTATAAATACAAGGTAATAAGACCACATCCATGATAAGGTACAATTTGGATTATAGATTATAAACACAAGGTAATAAGACCACATCCATGATAAGGTACAATTTGGATTATAGATTATATACACAAGGTAATAAGACCACATCCATGATAAGGTACAATTTGGATTATAGATTATAAACACAAGGTAACAAGGCCAAATCCAAATAAATAGTGTATGATGTTTCGGTAACCGCGTGTTACTGAAATGTCACACACTAGTGATGTATTTGGATTTTGTCTTATTACCTTGTGTTTAAACTCTGCCTTTGCCGGTCCCAAGCCCGGATGACAAAGGAGGAGGGGGAGCAGTAACAAGCTCACTAAAATACCTGGGTTCAGCTGGCCATGCTGATAGTACCCTGTAAGGTCTCCAGGCATACAAGATGTACTCCATGTTAGGAGCGGCTGTACATGGTGTCTGTTCCTCATGTCAGACATTACATATTGGAGATAAGTCAGTGGCCTGCTACTGAGTCCCAGTCTTAATGACATTCTACTTCACCCAGCCATGCTGATAGTACCCTGTAAGGACTCCAGGGATACAGGATGTACTCCATGTTAGGAGCGGCTGTACATGGTGTCTGTTCCTCATGTCAGACATTACATATTGGAGCTAAGTCAGTGGCCTGCTACTGAGTCCCAGTCTTAATGACATTCTACTTCACCCAGCCATGCTGATAGTACCCTGTAAGGACTCCAGGGATACAGGATGTACTCCATGTTAGGAGTGGCTGTACATGGTGTCTGTTCCTCATGTCAGACATTACATATTGGAGCTAAGTCAGTGGCCTGCTACTGAGTCCCAGTCTTAATGACATTCTACTTCACCCAGCCATGCTGATAGTACCCTCTAAGGACTCCAGGGATACAGGATGTACTCCATGTTAGGAGTGGCTGTACATGGTGTCTGTTCCTCATGTCAGACATTACATATTGGAGCTAAGTCAGTGGCCTGCTACTGAGTCCCAATCTTAATGACATTCTACTTCACCCAGCCAAGCTGATAGTACCCTGTAAGGACTCCAGGGATACAGGATGTACTCCATATTAGGAGTGGCTGTACATCAAGCATGCAAGCATGTCAAACTCGCGGGCCTCATGCGGCCCACAACGAATAAATTTGTGGCCCACCAGACAATATATTTTAATAAAAAAATTTTTATAAATAAAAAAAAAAATTTATAAAAATTTGTAGCCTAATTTTTAAAAATTGTAATTATACATAATTTATTTATTAATAACGAACCACTGGTCGCCATACATAAGTCGTAAGTTTTGATAATATTATACCTACATTCATAACGTATGTACATCGCCATAAGTATTGTGTGCCTTAAAGTTTAAAGAAAATATTCTTTCGGAGTACTAGAAATTTTTTTTTTTTAAAGTTACGTTCAATAATTTGTGCAGTTATTCTGTGTCTGGTAAGTTAAAAAATATTAATTTTTAAAAAAATTTAAAAATATTAATTAAAACGTTTTATTATTTTGTGTTAGCGATTACTAATTTTTTTTCAGACCTTTGTATTCAATATGTCTTCATCAAAACCAAGTGGCAGTAAAACTAAACGAAAAATTGCTGACGAACATATGAATTTTCAAGAAAAGTGGGAATTAGAGTATTTTTGCTCTGAAGTAAAAGATAAAATCATCTGCTTGATATGTAATAATGCTATTAGTGTACCAAAATGATATAACATTAAACGTCATTATGAACAACATAAATCAAAATATGATACCTACGAAGGTTTAATGAGACAAGAAAAGTTAAAAGAGTTCAAGTTGGGAATGAAAAAACAACAGTTTATGTTTACTAAAGTATCACAAGAGAGTGAAGCGGCGGTGCATGCAAGCTACGTTTTATCGGAGATGATAGCTAGACACTCAAAACCTTTTACTGAAGATGATTTCATCAAGGAATGTTTAATTAAAGCTGCAGAAATTGTTTGTCCTGGAAGTGTGAAGACGTTTCAAGCAATATCTTTGTCTCAAAATACCGTTGTGGAAAGAGTTACTGATATGGCCAGAAATTTAAATGATCAGATAAAAGAAAAATCATATTGTTTCGAAGCATTTTCCATTGCCTGTGATGAGAGTACGGACATTGGGGGCGTAGCTCAGTTAGCTGTTTTTTTTCGAGCTTGCGACACGGATTTCAACACTTTTGAGGAATTATTGGAACTAGTACCGATGCATGGCACTACTACAGGAGAAGATATATTTAATTGCGTTTATGATCTTCTGTAAAAATATAATTTACCTCAATCAAAATTGACTTCTGTAGCAACAGATGGAGCTCCTTCAATGACTGTAAAAACCAACGGTTTCGTAGCATTACTGCGAAAAAAACTAAGTGAAATTTCTGATGGTTCCAATATTCATCATACGCATTGCATTATACATCAGGAAGTATTATGTACGAAGGTAATAAAAATGGAAAATGTGTTGACACCTATCAAAAAATTCATCAATTTCATAAGATCTCGAGGTTTAAATCAGCGACAGTTCTCTCTGTTCTTAACTGAATTAGAAAGCGAATATTCAGGTTTATCATACTATACCAAGGTACGTTGGCTATCATGCTCCAAGGTTCTCAAACAATTTTGGGACTTGAAAGAAGAAATATGTCAGTTTTTAATAACAAAGAATCAAGACATCACTTTGTTTTCTGATCAAGTATGGTTGCAAGAT